AACCCACACACCACAACCCTTTAGCACCACATAGCCACACAACCCACGTAGTCCACACACTCCATACAAACAACCCACGCTCCACAGCCCTATAACACCACATAGCCACACAACCCACGTAGTCCACACACTCCATACAAACACCCAACACACCACACCCCTATAGCACCACATAGCCACACAACCCACGTAGTCCACACACAGACCCCACACTCCAGAGCCCTATAACACCACAGAGTCACACAACTCACGTAGTCCACACGCTCCACACACACACACCCCACCCCTATAGCACCTCATAGCCACACAACCCACGTAGTCCACACACCCCACACTCCACACCCCTATAGCACCACATAGCCACACAACCCACGTAGTCCACACGCTCCACCTACTCCCTTGAGCGTTGGTGTATTGTGTGACCGCTTGAATGTTCTGGTAATGCTTATTATTCCAGAGGCTGTGTTTTGGATTTTCTGGAAATGCATCAGATCTTGTTAAATGCCGTAAAGGAAGCTGTTATAGCGGTCAATCCTTAAAAGAACTAGGGCATGGGTCGACGTCTTAGCTGCATCTGTTGTTATTAGGAGAGGAATGTTTCCAAAAGAGCGTAGGTGAAACTGTCATGTCTGACAGAGCTGATCTACTTGATTATTGATGCTGAGATATAAACTTCACACACCAACACGTTGCATGCGCTCCACACATTGCACACACTCCACATCCCCAACACTCCGCACACTTTACACCATCCACTCACTCCACATCCCCCACACTTTACACCATCCACACACTCCACATCTTCCACATTCTGCAGACTTTACACCATCCACTCACTCCACATCGTTCACACTCCGCACACTTTTCACACCAAGACGTTCCATGCGCTCTACACATCTCACACACTCCACACATCCCACACACCCAACACATCCCACAAACCCAATACATCCCGCACACCGAACACAACTCACGCCCTGAACAAATCTCATACAACCAACACGTCCCAAACAACCAACACAAGCCACACACACAACATATCGCATACAACCAACCAACCCCCACACACAACAGATTTAAAACAACCAACACATCACACACACCCAACACATCCCACACACCCAACACTTCCCATACACCCAACACAACCCACACACACAACACATCCCACACACCCAACACTTCCCATACACCCAACACAACCCACACACCCAACACATCACACACACCCAACACATCACACATCACATCTAACACACCCAACACATCACACATCACATCCAACACACCCAACACATCACACAACACATCCCACACACCCAACACATCACACAACACATCCCACACACCCAACACATCACACATCACACCCCACACACACAACACATCCCACACACCCAACACATCCCACATCACATCCCACACACCCAACACTTCCCATACACCTAACACAACCCACACACACCACACATCCCACACACCCAACACTTCCCATACACCCAACACAACCCACACACCCAACACATCTCACACACCCAACACATCACACATCACATCCCACACACCAAACACATCACACATCACATCCCAGGCACCCAACACATCACACATCACATCCCACACACCAAACACATCACACATCACACCCCACACACACAACACATCCCACACACCCAACACATCACACATTACATCCCACACACCCAACACATCACACATCACACCCCACACACACAACACATCCCACACACCCAACACATCCCACATCACATCCCACACACCCAACACTTCCCATACACCTAACACAACCCACACACACCACACATCCCACACACCCAACACTTCCCATACACCCAACACAACCCACACACCCAACACATCCCACACACCCAACACATCACACATCACATCCCACACACCAAACACATCACACATCACATCCCAGGCACCCAACACATCACACATCACATCCCACACACCAAACACATCACACATCACACCCCACACACACAACACATCCCACACACCCAACACATCACACATTACATCCCACACACCCAACACATCACACATCACATCCCACACATAAAAACACATCACACATCACATCACACACACCCAACACATCACACATCACATCCCACACACACAACACATCACACACACACAACACATCACACATCCCATCACACACACCCAACACATCACACATCAAGTCCCCCACACACAACACATCACACATCACATCCCACACACCCAACACATAACACAACACATCCCACACACCCAACACATCACACACACCAAACACATCCCACACACCCAACACATCCCACACACCCAACACATCCCACACACCCAACACAACCTACACATCCAACACATCCTACACACCCAACATATGACACACACCCAACACATCACACACACCCAACACATTCCACACACCAAGCAGAACCCTCACACCCAACACACACCACACACCTAACACACCCCACACCCCCAACACATCACACACACACAACACATCAAACACACACACAACACATCCTACACACCCACCACGACCCACGCACCCAACACATCTTACACACCCAACACAACCCACACACACAACACATCCTACACACCTACCACGACCCCCACACACACCACACATCCTACACACCAACCACGACCCACACACCCAACACATCCCACACACCCAACACATCCCACACACACAACACAACCCACACACACAACACATCCCACACACCCAACATACCCAACACATCCCACACATCCCACACACCCAACACATCCCACACACCCAACACAACCCACACACACAACACATCCCACACACCCAACACATCCCACACACACAACACAACCCACACACACAACACATCCCCCACACACAACACATCCCACACACACAACACATCCCACACACCCAACACATCCCACACACACAACACAACCCACACACACAACACATCCCACACACCCAACACACCCAACACATCCCACACACCCAACACACCCAACACATCCCACACACCCAACACATCCCACACACACAACACAACCCACGCACCCAACACATCCCACACACCAAACACATCACACATCACATCCCACACACCCAGCACATCCCACACACCCAACACATCACACACACCCAACACATCCCACACACCCAACACATCCCACACACCCAACACATGACACACACCCAACACATCCCACACACCCAACACATCACACATCACATCCCACACACCCAACACATCCCACACACCCAACACATCCCACACACCCAACACATCAGACACACCCAACACATCACACAACACAACCCACACACACAACACATCCCACACACCCAGCACATCCCACACACCCAACACATCCCACACACCCAAAACATCCCATATCACATCCCACACACCCAACACAACCCACACACCCAACACAACTAACACACTCAACACATCCCACACACCCAACACACCCAACACATCCTACACACCCAACACAACTAACACACCCAACACATCCCACACACCCAACACACCCAACACATCCCACACACCCAACACACCAAACACATCCCACACACACAACACAACCCACACACCCAACACATCCCACACACCCAACACATCCCACGCACCCAACACACCCAACACACCCAACACACCCAACACATCCCCCACACACAACACAACCCACACACCCAACACATCCCGCACACCCAACACATCCCACACACCCAACACACCCAACACATCCTACACACCCAACACAACTAACACACCCAACACATCCCACACACCCAACACACCCAACACATCCCACACACCCAACACACCAAACACATCCCACACACCCAACACAACCAACACACCCAACACACCCAACACATCCCACACACCCAACACATCCCACACACCCAACACACCTAACACACCAAACACATCCCACACACCCAACACACCCAACACATCCCACACACCCAACACACCAAACACATCCCACACACCCAAAACACCCAACACATTCCACACACCCAACACAACCCACACACCCAACACATCCCACACACCCAACACTTCCTACACACCCAACACATCCCACGCACCCAACACATCCTACACACCCACCACGACCCACACATCCAACACATCCCACACACCTAACACATCCCACCGGAAACACATCTTACACACCCAACACAACCCCCCCACACAACACAACCCACACACCCAATACATCCCACGCACCCAACACAACCCACACACCAAACACTTCCCACACACCCAACACACACAACACACACTACATCACACCCACCCAACACAACCCACACACACAACACAACCCATACACACAACACATACCCCACACAACCAACTCATCACACACACCCAACACATCCCACACCCCCAACACTTCCCATACACCAAACACAACCCACACACACAACACATCCCACACACCTAACACATCACACATCACACCCCGCACACCCAACACATCCCAGACACACAACACATCCCACATCACATCCCACACACCCAACACATCCCAGACACCCAACACATCACACATCACATCCCACCACTCAACACATCTCACATCACATCCCACGCACCCAACACATCCCACAAACCTAACACAACTCAGACCCTGAACAAATCTCATACAACCAACACGTTCCAAACACCCAACACAACCCACACACACAACATATCTCATACAACCAACACCCTCCCCCCCCCCCCCCCCCCCCCTCCCCCTCCACACACACACACACACAACAGATCTCATACAACCAACACATCACACACACCTAACACATCCCACACACACAACACAACCCCCACATACAACACAACCCACACACACATCACATCCCACATACCCAGCACATCCCACACACCCAACGCACCCAACAAACCCAACACATTCCAACACACTGAGTATTCCGACATGTGACGTGAAGTCCTTACCGTATTTACCGGAACCTTTCGACGTGAATGCTTTCAATACTCTCGTCCACATGGTTGTCATTGTTCGGGGTGGATCCCTATGCGGGGTGGTAGTACGTGCTGTCCCATTGTAGCCCTAATCCCTGGGGGAACCAGCGTCGGCCTGGTCTTACGTGTATTTTGCCCCCGGACCGGGAAACACAGTCATGAGGAAGGGATATGTTAATTTCCTTGTTTTAAATCAACGATTACCTGTATCAAAAGATAGAGTGATTGTCATTCGTTGAAACGTGAGTATATGTCACGTGACTTTGTTATCTTTATTGGGGCAGGGGGACCCAGTCTTCTAAAGCTCCGCAATGCGCTGTGGCGTCCCTTTGGCTCGCCAGAAATCGTGGGTTCGAATCCAGGTCCGCCCGATTATGTTTCTAGGTTTTTCTAGGTTTTTACCTGTGCTCGTGGGTTTCACCAAGTGGTAAACGTCTAAGACCTGCATCAATTATTCCCACATTAAGCTGACACGCCGTGATATAACTGGAATACTGTATAAAGCGGAGTTAAACCCAACTCACTCACTCACTCACTCACTCACTCATCCCCACTCAGACACTGTACTGACTCCGAGCCAACCTCTCCTTGTTGCATCTCCTAAATGCCGAACGCCAGGCAGTGTAACAACAAGTACCATATGTTATCTTATGGCATGACGTAGGTAGGGATCGAACCACCAATTAACCTTCAACTCTCTGGGCAGACGCTCTATCCACTGGACCACGGAGGCGGACGGTAGAGACAGTCCTAGCCAACCTCTCCTTGTTGCATCTCCTAAATGCCGAACGCCAGGCAGTGTAACAACAAGTACCATATGTTATCTTATGGCATGACGCAGGTGGGGATCGAACCACCAATTAACCTTCAACTCTCTATGCAGACGCTCTATCCACTGGACCACGGAGGCGGACGGTAGAGACAGTCCTGTAAAACTAGTTGCGCCAGTTGTCCTGTTTGACCGCAGTAGAATTAGAAATCGTAGTTGCCGAAGTTGTACATGTTTGTTTGTTGGTTTGTTGTGTAACGCCGCCTTCAGCAATATTCCAGCTATATGACGGCGGTCTGTAAATAATCGAGTCTGAACCAGACAATCCAGGGATTGACATCATGAGCATCGATCCACGCAATTGGGATCGATGACATGTATCAACCAAGTCAGCGAGCCTTTTACGACAAGCATAGTCGCCTTTTACGGCAAGTATGGGTTGCTGAAGACCTATTCTACCCCGGAATCTTCACGGGTCTGTATGTCTTCTAGTAATAATACACTGTTAAAAGAATAATAATTATTTGTTGTGAATAGACTTTGGGTAGAATAAATAACAGTATTTGAACGCCAAATTTCCTTACAGTGTTAAAAAAAACAGTCCGCGTTCCACAGAGTGATTTTAGCCCTACGATAGTCGAAGTCTATGTTAAAGTATGGGAGTTTCGATCTTCCTAGCGCTTCGGTCGCTTTGTGGAACGGAGCCCAGTACGATCATCCCTGCCTAAGAGCAATGCACTATCAAGATAGTAATAAAGATTGAAAATATTTGATTTATGATCAGTCTGACTGACGGCCATTTACAGTCTTCAAGAAAGACATAAAGCTTAACTATGGAATTGATAATAAAGAGAAAACAACCGCAACAAGACAACACGTAATGACGCCTGAGACAATAACCCTTGTTTTACTTCCCTCAAGGTCATTACGTGTCATGAACCGTGCACATGGTCACTTGAAAAATATATTGCTGCACATTTAAGCCAAAAAAACGGGAACAACGTCCTCGCTGTTCACGACGCCGTGCACAGCGGCATTACAGTCGTTTTGAGGATTAATCAATATACGCGGTGAGTAACGTGTTTGTTCATTACCCGTACTCTTGCCCGACTGACAAGACAGAGTTGCGAATGTGGCAATTTCGAGGTGGGGGTGGCAATCTTTCAAAGTTTATCGTTTTTTAATGCTTTTAAGCCGCTTTAGATTGTCCCCACTGATCATCAATCATAATACTTTTAGCTGGCGTTTCTTTCAGGCTGAAGGTAGCTTATGTGACAGTGTTTCAAGTAGAAAGTACCACAGACTTGATGGATGTAATTTTATATACTAGTAACTATCAGGTATAACAACACGCTGTTGTCATGGTGAAGTCGTAGTAGTAGTAGTGAGTGAGTGAATATAGTTTTTACGCCGCTTCGAGCGATATCCCAGCAATATCACACAGGGGGACACCAGAAATAGGCTTCACACATTGTTGCCATTTGGGGAATAGAACCTGGGCCTTCTGTGTGACGAGCGAAAGTTTTACCACTTAGCTGCCCTATCGCCCCTGTAGTTCTGAGTGAGTGAGTAGGGTTTACGCCGCTTTAGCACTATGGGAAGGAGAAGCCGTCTTGTGTACATAGCAGGCTTCTCCACTCCATTGTGACGTCATCCCGATCTACTCAGCTGTAGAAACACTGCCTCATACCTGTGTATGCTTGTCAACCATGCTCTGTACATCACTTGCTTGATAACGATGTTAGAACCTACACCGAAAGGTCGCTCCTAATTGTAATCGTCCTCGATTATCCAGCGTATTAAATCGTCATTCTGTTACGAGAAATATCCTGGGCCCATATCAGCCTCGATTATCCAGCATATTTAATCTCTATTCTGTTATGACAAATACCCTGGACCCATATCACCCTCGATTATCGAGTGCAATACATCTCATTTTGTTTTGATAAATACCCTGGACACTAAACCAGCATAATTTCATTACGGAAGTGACGTCATCATCGCCATCTCTCTTATCAGTAAACAAGAGCAGGATTTCTCTACCTCATGAATGAACAACGATTCCAAATTCCAATTCTGAAAGCGAGTTCTTCTTTCAAAATCGCGGCCACATAAGAAAGAGCTTCAATGTATTTAATCGAATGAGAAGATGGTTCAAATTGAACTTTTTTGCCGGAAAAGGTATTGAGAGTTTTAAGACAGGAGGTATTAAACCCTCCTTACCATGCAGCAGGATATTCCCCCTTGTGTTTGACTCGGCACGCAACATCGCGAGTGGAGAACTGGTTATACCGCTGCTTTTTTAGGCATGAAAGAACAATGTACATTTTGATTGGTCGGCTGTCTTTAGCTTTGGATCATTCGAACCGGACCCTCGAAACGAGGCTATGGTGGCGAATTTGCCCACGGTGTATGCAACAAAAGAATATAGTGATGTAATACACTAGATAATCGAGGATGGTTTGCACCTGACAAACCAGCCGTCGATGTTGTGAGCAACAAGCGATGTCATCGGTGGCATCGAGCCAGCCTTGTTTCATATACAAATCAGACTGATTCTACAGGTACACAGTTTAAGTCTTTGGTAGGCATTTAGAAGTTGGAAGAACATGAAAACATGACACTTTTTTATGGATAGCAACTACTTTTGTTCTTTGTCACGACGGGGCGGTGATGTAGCCTAGTGGTCAAAGCGTTCGATCGTCACGCCGAAGACCCAGGTTCGATTCCCCACATGAGTCCATTGTGCGAAGCCTACTTTCTGGTGTCCCCCGCCGTGATATTGCAGGAATATTTGTAAAAGCGGCGTAAAACCATACCCACTCACTCTTGGTGACGACGTTTCAGAGCTACTCCTGCTCCCTGATGGGGTGACTGCTGAAGTCAGCCGATGAAGGAGCAGGAAGTAGCTCTGAAACGTCGTGACAATGATAGTTGCTATCCATAAAGAGTGTCACGTACTCAGGTTCACATTTAATCGTCTCATACCAGACGCGACACCCACTCAGTCCCAAGTGAGTTGAGGTGAGCTTATTGCTCGTGTTATGGTTATTGTGTGGCTGCGTGTGTGTGTGGCTACTTTCACTAGTCCGGACTAATGCCGGTTTTATAGTGCTAGCCCAGTGAGATACCATGTCCCAGTTTCAACATGAATACTCATCTCAGACACCGAGCCGACCTTGCATTATCCCCTTAATGCCGAGCACCAGGCAGCGTAACGATAAGTACCATGTTTTAATGTCTACTGGTATGACGCGGAAGGGGTCAAAACGCCAGCCTGCCGGTCTCCGGGCAGGCGCTCTACCACTAGACCGCGGAGGCGGTCCTGTCCCAAGGAAAACGAGACCTCGACCAAGACCCCATTGGGGTTCTGAGTCATAACAGGTCCCTTGGCAATATATGCTTGTTGTAGGTGGCGACTAAATGGACAGGGTGGTCAAGATCGGTGACTTGCTTTATTGCGCGTCATCGATCCCGACGGCTTGGGATCCAGTGGTTTGTCTGATCGAACGTCTATTGTGTAAAGGCCACCGTCATATAGCTGGACTAATGCAGAGTACAACGTTTAACAACAAACTAACAAATATAAACTTGAAAGGGCTGAAATGATCCACGATACTCTTACTGCCGCTTCATGTTAACTTCAGTTCAACGTTCGTTACAACCTCATCGACAGCAACCGTGTCCTCATCGTCTACTGTACCGTAATTCTCTGCTCATAACTGCCTGCCAGAATCCTATGATCGAGGGGTTCGAATCCCAAATTCGGCTTCATTATGCATTTTTGGTTTGTCGTATCCTTTTACAAAAGTGGTAGACGTCAAAGATTTACATGCTGTGATATTACTTTTTTCAAACCAGTGTTAAACCCAACTCACTTCCAACCCCATTTATCAATTCAAACCTTCTCCGAAAATGAATGAGTTCTCAAAAGTTTTCTTATATCTTGAATCCATTAAGTGGTGTTCTGATATATAATTCACAGTTGTAAGTGAGTTGGGTTTAACGCCAGTTTGAACGGTAGTTTAGCTATATCAAGGCGTATCATAGGAGGACAGTCGTAGTGTGGCACTTTAGGGTATTTACCGAGAGAGGGTGCATGCATTATGTCTATAAATCAAGGGCAATAAGCAGGAAGAATATAGGCATCCACAGGCTGTGGATCCAGACATGGATAAGGGACACAACTCTGCAAATCGTCTTACTGAGACTCAGACCATCACCCACGCGTGTCAACTTGGGGATCTCTCTAACTGACGACTGGTTACCACAAGGACTTAGTTAATATGTGTCATTCTCACTAACACCTACGATGGTCAATCACTTCGTGCAAGCTCTCTTTGTAATTGAAACTTATAATTACTTTTTTTCCAACCATATACGGTGTGAGCATATAATACTAAGGACACTGTCTTGATCAATGTGTATACAACCTTGTCTAATATCTGTACTTT